AACATTTGGAACTGTGTTTCATTTGTGTAAACGTGTTACAGCCAGAACACTATTTAGCACTCCCTGTCAGAACACTACCTAGCAATCACTTGGTCTCAGTAAATATCTACTGAGTGAATAAGTCACCACATTATAACAGTATAATAACTTGATAGTGTATTTTTATAAATCTGATCTATATTTTTTATTTTTATAATAGTTGTAGTGGTCATGGTCCAGTGTCCTCTAAACAGACAAAAGATGTGGAAAGAAGACATGGATTATAGGAATATATAATCATTTAAAGTTACCCCACAAAAAATGTTTCAGAATCACTTAGAGTGGAAATGATGTGCATTGGTGTTCTTACATTCTTTTCCATCTTAATTTCAATTTCAGGGATCAAAGGAAACAGTTCCAGGTCCTCGTGGAGAGCAAGTTTTATGAATGGCTGATCAATACAGGGCATCGCCAGCAGCTGGACAGCCTTGTCCCTCCTGCAGCAGGCTCCAAACAAGCCGCAGGCTAGGCCTCTTCTATCACAACAGGGGGTAGGTGTGTACAGTGTAGGTCCTTTAAGCAAATTCCCAGACTCACTCCCTATTCATTCTAAACCAGCTGGCCCTTCAGTGGGTTTTCAGAGGCTGTCAAAACTACCGAGAGTATTATATTATTAGCAGTATTGTGTCCTACAGCCACCATGACAAATTGAATGTGCCTTAAGACAATATAAACTTACTCTTTCAGCACTGGAAGGTAGCAGGTTGAAATCCAAGCTCAACAGTTGGTTCTTTTGAAGCTCTAAGGGAGAATCTGGGCTCAGCCTTTCTCCTAGTTTTATTCTCTTCCCTTATGTAGTCTTCTCTCCTGGGTGTCTTTGTTTTGGTGCCAAAATTTCCTTCTTAAATTGACACCAGTCTTCACCTAGTGTGTGTTCTTAATTCATTACCGTCGGTTCTTGATCTCGATCATATGCTACTTCTTTTTTTTTTTTTCATATGCTACTTCTTGAAATGATTCAGTGTTCTTGACAATTCTTGACACACATCTAAGTATATCACACCCTTCTTCTTCTTTTTTTTAATGCTTTCTGCATCATTCAATGTTTTGCCCATAGTATCCTTTGGTATTGCAACTGAGGCTTGATGAATTTATTCTTCTGTTCTTTCAGCTTGAGTTATGCCAGGCATGATTTTCTAACTGTAGTTCTGTGCATATTGGATTATAATAGTTTATTTTGTCTTCTGGAGCTGTCCTTTGGAATCTTCTGCTCAGCTGTCATATTTCACCATGTCTAGGGTACTACTAGAAGTGTAGGCTGGGTTTAGAAAAGGCCATGGCACCAGGGATCATTGCTATGTCAGATGAATTCTACCTTAAAGCAGAGAACACCAGAAAAATGTCTGTGCTTTATTGACTATGCAAAGGAATTTGACTATGTGGATCAGGAGACGTACTGCATTGGAAAAGTCTGCAGTTAGGGACCTCTGCAAATAACTGAGAAGCAATGATGCCAGTTTGAAGACTAAAGTATGCCTGATTCAGGACATGGTCTTTCCAGTAACTTGCTATGTGTGTGAGAGCTGAACAATAAATAAGGATGACTGAAAAAGAATTGATGCCTTTGAGCTGTGGTATTGGAGAAGAGTATGAAATATCTCATGGACTGCCAAAATAACAACCAAATATATCTGGAACAAAATACAGCCAGACTGCTCCTTGGAGGCAGAAATAACAAAGCTTTGTCTCACATACTTTGGGCTTGTTGCTAGGAGAGGCTATTCCTTGAAAAGAAACGTCATGCTTGGAAATGTGGAGGGATGGCAGAAGAGAGGTAGACCCTGAACCAGATGGATTGACACAGCGACTTCAGCAATGGGCTCAAGTCTGTCAGAGATGATGAAGATGACACAAGATGGGACAAGGAATAGATGTGTTATTGATAGGGTCACTAAGAGCCATGTTCTACTTGACAGCACATAACAACAACAACAACGACCTTCTT